TATATATAGGAATATTCTCCTAGGACCACTGCTAATAGATAAGGTCGTACCTTCCTGAGTTGACAATACTATCGAAAACCAAAAGTGACCATCATATAAATATTATAGACTCAATGTGAATATTATAAAATATAAACTGTTAGCTTAAGAGGACTAAATTGTAAAAATTGAAACTCCTTATTTAATTAGACTCCAACTAACTATAACCAACTAACTTCTTTCTTGACAAGGATCCTGAATAAATCGCACATGCTCCAAGGAGTTCACGGTCAGGTACTCCTCCGCATGCTGCCGGTACTACTCCTGAAGCACTACAGTGGCTTTCCACATTTCATTTTTGCATCATTACTCTTCCCTTAAAAATCTTCTTTGTCCTCAAGGAAGGAAGGAAGGAAACTTCAACTTCATCACTACATAGTCTTCCCAAGTAGCTTGCTCTTTTGACATTTGTGACCACTGGACCAAAATTTGAGGGACTACCTTATTTTCTTGTTTGATCATCCTTCTGTCCAAAATCTCTTGAGGTTCCACACAGTAGGGGTTGGTAACATCAATTTCCGGTGGGTGATTAATCCTATCAGAGATGGCATAACATGGCTTAAGCTGAGAGACATGAAAAGCGGGATGGATAGCAACATGTGAGGGAAGTGAGAGCTTGTAAGCAACATGACCAATTTTCTATAGGATCTGGTATGGACCATAATACTTGACTGAGAGCTTAGAGAATGAGTGGTTAGAGAGTGTAATATGCCTATAAGGTTGAATGAGATAAACCCAATCCTTCTCATTGAATTTCCTGTCAATTTTATGCTTATTGGCCAAAGATATCCTTTGATGTGCCATATGAATGTAGATTTCAATTATTGTACCTTAAGTTCCCTAGTAGTGAGGCTTTGATCCACTTCCTCTTCAGTAGCATCACCTGGTAGATAGGGTAGATGAATATGAGGTAGTTGTCCATAATTAAAGAGCTTCATAAGTGGTAGTTTGAATGGCTGAGTGGAAGGTGGTATTATACTATTATTCTGCCAGTGACAAATTAGAGGCCCAATCTTGTTGGCTATCAGCATAAAAACACCTTAAATAGGTCTTCACATTGTTGTTGAGTACCTAAGTTTGACCATCTGTTTGGGGATGATAGGTTGTGGAAATACAAAGGTTCACACCTTGCATGGCAAAAAGATCTTGCCATACTTTGTAGACAAATATTGGATTCCTATCATTGATTATGTTTTCTGGCATACCACGTAACTTGGAAACATAATCCAAGAACAACCACGGTACTATCAATATCATGTTACAAGAACCTAGAGGTAACAATAGAAAATCTAATGTATAAGTGACCTCTTGCAGTAGCCAAGTCAAGTCTTTACAGATCTCATATGTCCGTCTGTTGTTGTCTTCTGCCACATTGATGGTTTGATGATCCTCAAAGTAATGATTCCCAGGCTTCTTGCTACGTCATCATCAATGAAGTTATGTGTACTGCCAGGATCGACCAATATACTCAGTGGCCTCTTCTGGCAATAACCAGTTACTCTCAAATTATGGAATGTTGGCACTCTATGTAGAGCGTTGACTGATATTTTATACATCTCTCCTTTCGCCTCTTCTCTTGTTTCTTCGGCTATCTCTGCAGGTTTCTCTACCGCCACTAAGTCTCTTGTTTTTTCTTCCTCATGTCCTTCTTCCTCTACCTCCAATAGGTATAGTTGTTTGGATCCATTACACTTGTGACCAAGGAATTCTCATCACAGAAGAAGCACAATCCCTTTTTCCTCTTCTGAAAGGCAAGATGCCACTCAATAGTTATGTCATCAAAATATATTGAAGCCACTTTAACCCTCTAGTTATTATCAACTTCATCTAAGGAGAAAGATTTTTCTACCTTGCAGAGCCAAGCTCTAAGATTGATGTTACTGAAACGAAGGAATTCCATCTTGGTTATCCGCGTCTAATTTGTTCCTCTTGGGGATGTAGCTGCAGAGTGTTAGGTTGCTGGTGAAGATTCACCACCCTCATTCTGTCTAACTGATGGTTGTCCTTAAGCAAAGCCACCCTATTGTTCCTAGAAGTACAATGTCCTTGAGCAGGAGCTGTAAAAGCTGGTGTATAAGGTGAAGCAGCTCCCCTTGGGGCTTGAAAATGAGGCATAAGCCTCAACCTCAAATGGTAACAGCTGGAGAAAACTGAGATGTGGCAAGACCACTGTGATCACCATGTACCAATCAATACGGTTTCCTGTAGGGGTGTAGATCTTACCCCTCCATCCATGTCTTCTATGCCTTTTTCTCGATCGTACCCCTTCATAGCATCCATGGACTCTTTTCAGCTCAGCAAAAGCTCTTTCATGTTGATTCTCAAGTTGTGTTTGCCTAATTGAGAAGTTTGATATCTCAACTGTCATCCTCTCAAACATAAATTTGATCTCGTCCATATTTTCCATTGTTATCACCTGCAGAGCTCAAGAAAGTTCTATGATACCAAAGACAATAGAATATTAACAAGAGGCAGAGGAAATAGAGATAAAAAAACTAAGCTAAAGCTATTCTAGGGTTTAGACTAAGATATTTTCATAGATGATCTGCGGAATTACAAATATATAAAGGAATATTCCCTAGGGCCACTACTAAGAGATAAGGTCGTACCCTTCCTTAGCTGACATTACTATCGAGGACCAAAAGTGCCATCATACAGTAATTACAGATTCAATGCGAATATTATAAAACATAAATCGTAAATTTAAGAGAACTAAAGTGTAACAATTAAAACTCCCTATTTAATTAGACTCCAACTAACTATAATGGTCAGACACTCCTCCACAAGCAGCTGGTACTATTCCTGAAGCACTGCAGTGTCTTTCCACATTTCATTCTCGCATCATAGAAAAACTTAAAGAAGTATAGAGCAGTGGAAACTGAACGAGTAGTTACGGTTCCAATTACATCAAATCTAAGAATGGTAATATAAAGCTGTGGGTTGTCAAAAACTAGGGAGAAATTGAAAAATAGTCAGATTTACAACTTGTCGTTCAAAAATAGCCCACTTTCAAAAGTAATCGAAATTTAGCTATTTTTCATGTAAAGATAAATCTAAGCGAAAACACTGTTTAAAACCCGAAAAATACGCTAGTATATTATACTGGAGTTCCAGTATAAGTATGCTTGAACTCCAGCATATTATACTGGAGTTCCAGGATAAGTATGCTGGAACTCCAACATAATATGATGGAGTTCCAGTATAAGTACACTAGAACTCCAGCATAATATACTGGAGTTCCAGCAAGTATAATTGTCCAGTATAATATACTGGAGTTTGGAGCACCGGTGCTCCAATCTCCAGTATATTATACTGGAGTCAGCAAAGTATACCGGTCCAGCATAATATGCTGGAGTTCATACACAGGTACACCGAACTCCAGTATATTATCCTGGACCGGTCTCTGTTACAGTAAAATAGTGGCTATTTTTCATTGACTTTGTAAACGTTGACTATTTTTTAATGACCAGTCCGAAAACTGGCTATACCGTGCTATTTTTACCAAAAACTACAACATCTTGGTAATGGATTTGCCAAATTTTGCTAGTGCGACGGTGTTGAGAATTGTGTCTGTCATTGTCAACGCTGCCCATGTGAACTAACTATAGTGCCTAAGTAGAGGGACTCTCAACTAGTTTCTTATGTAGTTTTTGAGAGCTTAACCATTGTTTAATTGTAAGCCCCTCTATCAAATTCAATCTTTTGTTTAAATTTCAGCTATCAGGGATCTGGTTCTATGCCCAGTCCGTGTTGTACATTTTCAGCAGATTAAAAGATGCCACCCTCTGAGTAACGACAAGTGCAATGTTTGTTACAACTTTAACAGAGGATATAGTTAAGCATTATTTAATACTTGAAGAGTAAATGTCAATAGACCACCATGATGGCTATATTTCCCAGGTGTATGATATTTCGTTGGTTTTATTTTATATTGGTCTTTAATGTACTGAAAAAGACCCCCACGTTCTCCAAGGTATGATTCTCAATCTCCTTCGATTTCACTTCCACCTTTTCCTAATGATAAGTTTTGACAATTGATAGTAACTGAGTAATACTTAAATCATTTTCTCAATGATTTGGTAGATATACTCTAGTCATTCTCAGGGTTCCTAATCAGATGTTGTATTTTTATATACCCCATGAAGGGTTGCATCGGTTAGGTCATAACGGTTGAACAAAGTCTGTCTTAGTTGTACTTGGCCCATTTTGGACAAAAAATATTAATTAGTACTATTTAAAAAGAGGTTGGGGCATATTCTGCTTATTAAATATTCTTAGTTGCTGAGTCCTTGAATATTTTATATTGATATACCAACCAAAGTCAATCCATCCTATCATTCCCTTGTAATTCTGTTGGTATAAATATATGTGCCTCTATCTCCCACTTTTTCCAAGCATCCACAATATTGAGCTTCTCTATTATAAAGCAGTTAAATAGCACAACTCCTTCATATAGCAGAACTCCTCCATTTCCTTCAGGCTCTAGTTGTAATAATAGTATGGAGCCTGTGGCATCAATATCAGGGGAATGGAGCTTCTTCAGTGGAATGTATTTAACTGAGGAGGCTGATTTTATGGCACATCTACTTGGTAACTGTTCACTTCCAAATGAACTACCATCCACTTATTGGACTGGTCATGAATCAACCATGAACATGGGAGGAGCAAGAGAAGTTCCATTTTATTCTTCAAACGACACTAACAATACTATGTATAGTGGTGGTAGTGGTTCTTGTTTTCCCCCTCGGAGTCATGAAAGTTACTACTCAAGTTATTCTCGGCCTATCTTGATGAGAAATGATAGTTCAATAACAATGGAATATGGTCTTGTGGAAGGTCAAATCAATCCAATCGAAGCGGATGATTTCCTTAACCGAGATCATGTGAGCAATGACAGCATGGAGTACAATGAAAACATGCCTGAAGCTGTTCTTGATGGAAATGGTTTGCAGCTTGGAAGAAGAGATTATGAGCAATTTCCTGAAGATAAAATGGATAGTTCATCAGAGAGCTCCAAGAAAAGATCCCGGTTGCATGGGCCTGGGCATGTAAGTGTCGTTGAACTATAAGACCATTCTACGTTATTTAGTAGTTTTTATGGTTCCCTGTTGATCTCACTTTTCTGTTGTAGGTCCCGAACAACAAGAGAAGCGCAAAGCTTGAGACTGGAGAGAGGGATGGGAAAAACAAGGCAGTGCTTCAGAGGCAGAACTCTATGATCAGTTGCTGCTCAGAAGATGAATCTGTTAATGTTTCTCACGAGTTAACCCGAAAAACCAGAGCCAGCAGGGGTTCAGCAACTGACCCCCAGAGTTTGTATGCCAGGGTATGTAACTGCCTAATTACTTCCGATATTCCAGTGCCTTTTTGGTCTGTTTAGAAAATGATAACTTTATAAATTTTGAATTTAAACTTTTTATTTTACCTTGAATGACGCTATTATATCCAAAAGAATTAATGTTCTGACATAAGAAAGACCACAAGTGTCGCGGAAGCCAAATGTATATAGTGTGAATAAGTCACAACTACTATACCAAAAATTATGACAGCAACCAAATAATAAATAAGACAATAAAGCAACAATAAAGGGAACACCAGAATTTACGAGGTTCGGCTAATTTTGCCTACTCCTCGGACACAACCAATATTTTATTTCACTCCAAAAATACAAGTGAAATAATACTAAAGAGAGAA